ATGCTCAAAGTGGTATTTTTTTTAACCTAAAAATAGGGAAATAAAGTGTTTCTGAAAATGTCATTTTTATCATTTTTCTACATAAACTGCATTTTGTCATGCTTTCTCCAAATCTCAAATAAAAAATATATGTCACCGTGCTGGGTTCCATGATAAACGCGAGTTATCCTAAAAATTGAGTCCCCCCCTTTGGAACCTCAACGTTAGCGCTAAAATGCACGACGTCGCTGGCAGACAATTTCGACGTTATCTCTGCAAGTTACCGGCGACATTTTTAGATGTATAAATATTGCTTGTAAACAGCTACCTATAAATTGGTCAAATTGTTTTCGGAAATAAAATCATGTGAATCATAAATACCTGTCTCCGTTTGTGGTCTAAGTGAGAAACATCGCAAGAAAAGTTATTACGGACTGTTGATAATTTTACGGCTTTTAGAATTAAAGACTCGGCAATTTAGAACTTGACATACAGGTACATGTACTGTACACACTCGTGTATTATTTTTTACAATATGTTGACCTCTAGATGTTGTTTTTTGTTTTGTTTTGTTTGGTGGGCTGCTGTTTCATTACAATACTCCTTAAAATCCTTTTATTCACGTTTTAATCATTTTTTAGAATTTCACATTTATCCATAAAATAAAACTTTTGTTACGGTCAATGATTGCAATTGAATAAAATTTATAGGCTTCTGAATAGTTTTAAAGTTCACTTGATAAAATTATCTCCACTGGATCACAGCACAAAGGTTACTTACATGAGGTCTTTTCCTGCAAACGGAACTTCTTTTTTGTACATAAATTAGGCCGCTAGTTTTCTCGTCTGAATTGTTTTACAGTATAATTTCGGGGCCTTCTATAGTTGACTAATAGATGCGGTATGGGCTTTGCTCATTGTTGAAGACCGTACGATGACCTATAGTTGTTAATTTCTGTGTCATGTTTGTCTCTTGTGGAGAGTTGTCTTATCGGCAATTACACCACATCTTCTTTTTTTATGTTGTCAGAAAACAAAAACAAAATCTTATAAAGGAGAATCTTCAATTTGCCAAAGGATGCTTTTGTCCAGACAGAGAAACTAAACCATAATTTTGAAATTTTTGATTTGGCAAAACGATTGAATTAATAGCGAAAGGATTGGACATATTACCAATTCCCCCACCCACTCCCAGCTTTGGTTTTGTTTCTGTTCCTCTCCCAACTTTCCACACTATACCCACTTAAAGTACGATTGCAAAGCAAGTCAGTGGCGGATCCAGAAATTTTCATAAGTAGGGGCCCACTGACTGCATAAGAGGGGGCCCGCTCTCGTCACGCTTCAGTGATTCTCTATATAACCAACCAAAATTTTTCCTCAAAAAGGGGGCCTGAGCCTCCCCCTGAATACGCCTCTGCACGTCACTTTTATAATCTTGTACTATTATATACTTTCTCTTCAGTTTTTAATGCTGTTTTTTTAGGGGGAAGAGGGGAGAGAGTGGGAGAGGGTAGCAAGTTGCGATTAAAATCCAAATACTAGTACTTCTCTCATAGCGTAATTTTATTGGTAAATAACTATATATATTTTTTCACCACAGCGCGACGCATTGCGGGGTACATAAAATATCACACGCCCATTCCTCTGTCTGTCCTTTATGTCCTTCTGGTTAATAGATTTTTCAAGTGTACAATTCTTGCCAAATTTTTATAAAACTAATATCGTATGGACACGTTCGAAAATCAGTGCATATCAACTGTTCTTTAAAAGAGTTATGCCATTTGGAAATATTAATTATATTGGAAATTGCATTGTATTTGATGTCAATCCGTCATTTCTCTAATATATTTGTAAAAAAAATAAAGAACAAAATAAACAGCTGCGCTACGAGCGCATGATACGCCCATCGTCTTATGAAAAAAACCCATAATAAATGTTTTTAAAATAACACGGGGGTTGTACAGGAATTCATGCTAAGTATATCCTGACTCATTCCTTATTCTTTCTCAATAGGAAGTTTATATATCACATCATGTGTTCTATGATATCAAATTGAAGCTCAATAAAAATTCAAAAACTCAAAAATGAATTAAAGAATCATCACGAAAAAGTATACAGATCTTTAGATTAATTTAAGTAACAAGTATGTGAAGTTTTATGCAATAATTATAAATAGTTTCTGAGATACGGCGCGACATGTGAAAACCCCCTCTTTTTTCATAAACTCAATAACTGTAAAATAAAATTTTGAATCATCCCCAAAAAGTACACAGATCTTCAGATTAATATAACTAAGAAGTGTGTACAGTTTTAAGCAATAATCATAATTCGTTTTTGAGATACGGCGCGAACTGTGAAAAAAAACACCTCTGTTTTAGTTACAAAGTCCTGTAACTCAAAACGTTCACCAAAAAGTATACTTATCGTTTGACCATCATAAAAAACAACTATGTTAAGTTTAATGAAATTTGGATATTTGTGCTGTACTATGTTAAAGACGGACAGACAGACGCCGGACATTTGTATACCATTATTAAGTTCCGTCAAAATTTTTCGGGCGTTAATATTGTTGACTTTTGCCTTTTTGTTAGATAAAATACGTGCAACGTGGAAGAAATAGGAACTTTGTTGTATCATTTTTAATATTAGCGGCATACCATTATTTATTTTAGTAAATTGTTCAGTTAGGAAATTTACTTCTTCGTGTACCTAAATTTTCGGTATTAGTTTTAAAATATCATTGGTTTCCTGTGCTGTAATAAAATGTCAGAAAATCGGATTCGGACCAAATCATGGATGATGAATGATAATAAAAATGATAATTGACATGCATTATATTAGTAACACCAAAAGGGTCAGTCGTCTTGAGATTGCTCACTATACGATACTTTGTTGAAGATCTCACAGAAACAGTTATATGTTTTATTTCTTCTGATTATATTAGACTGTTATCCTGTTAGAATCAAATGCACTAATATTAATGGTTTAGAAGTTAGCATGCGGGAGAAACAGAAATTGAAGCATCGAAAATCCACATTACGTTTTTTATTACGGAAAATTACACGCATTACGTCCCGCAAAAAGTGACGTTTTGCGGGAATTCAAACGCATAACGTCGCGCCAAGAGTTAACTCCCTTGAAACTGTATCGGATGCCCTTAAAGACAGATATCACAATATAACGTGTTTAAGGTTCTGCTAAGGTCAAATTTTTCTTCATGTGAGGCATTTACTATCCTTCTTCTTCCGAATCCGGGAGTAGACTCCTTGGTAGGAGTGTAAAACTTCTCGTAACTTGTGTGCTATGTACATATGGACTTAATTAAAAGTAATATAAACAGTAACAAAAAATAGTCTGTAAAATAACATATATACATTATGTACAGTGGCTTTAAGTTTGATAGTTTAATAAATTGGTGACTGTGTGTCCTTCAAATGTTAGAGTGGATATGCCACTTTTGAAAGATTCCAGAGTGTCAGACATACAATGTACCTATTGCTTCAAGGGGTGAATTCCAATCAGAGATAGTGTTTGGATAAAAAGAATATATAAATAGAAGTCTTTATTAGTTTATACTATTTGCAAAATTTTATGTTGCCCCCTAGTACGTCTATCAGATTTTGTAAAATTGTCCTTTGGAACTTCTACTAACCCTCAATTAATTTTGTATAGCATAATTAATGTAGCTTTTTTTCGTCTATTGTCATGATTGTATAAACTTTCCCATTGTAAGGAATTTATCATGTTGGAAACTGCTCCCGGTGTATAAATGTTTTGTTTCTTAGCTTGTTCTTCCAGTTTTGGCTTCTTATTTTGTTCATGCATTTACATTTGTACAACAATATGAAGTTATTTATTTCAAAAGGACTGTAGAAATTTCAAAAAATAAATACATGATTTTGCTTTAAATTGGGTACACCAATTGCAAGACACATTTTTCAAATAAATCTAGTTCTCATGAATAGGAGTTTTCATTGTCCATAATTGTACAAGTCAATATACTCTTTATAAGTCTATACGAAGTACAAGCTAGCATTTAAAATGCATGTAAATTAATAATTGATCAGTTCTGCAAAATTGTTTTACTGCTTTACAAAATACAAAGGCCGCCACTTTTCAATTTCAAAGTGTCGTTGATTTTCTCGAAATTACTAAACCACAAACATTGAGGATCGTTATCTAGCGAAGTTATTGGACACACCTACTTAAAATAAAACATGCCTACTTTCTTTACTCTTCTTTGTTGGAGATTGAAAAACACTGCAATGTACGGGATTGAAACATAGTTTTATCAACGAGCACTGCACAACATGGCAAAACAGTTCAGAAGCAGATGATCAATTGAAATAGGCACATTTAAAAGTTGTATATATGTTACAATAGATAATTGAGTTACATGGACACAGCTATGCAGCCATTTAATGAGATAACATGGTATTCAGAAGTAAGATTATACCTAATCCTGATTGGTCGTTGTGTACCGCTATATGTTTTGTCTTAAGATACTCCTTGCACTCTGCATTCAACCAAAGCAAAATTTTCCATAGCTCTAAAAAAAACTATACAGTCTTTTCTATGCTACCACAAGAAACATATTTGCAGTGGGGAATTGAAAGGCAAGGGAGGTGAGTAAAATTTGCCTTTACAGAAAAGTCACTGGAATATGACAACTACCGAGGGATGGTCTTGATAAATGTTGTTTTTATAATGTATATAGGTCAGATGTCCATGACAACTACCGTGGGCTGGTCTTGATAAATGATGTTTTTATACTGTATATAGGTCAGATGTCCATGACAACTATGGAGGGCTGGTTTTAATAAATGGTGCTTTTATACTGTATATAGGTCAGATGTCCATGACAACTACCGAGAGCTGGTCTAGATAAATGGTGTTTTTATACTGTATATAGGAGGTCAGATGTCTATGACAACTACTGAGGGCTAGTCTTGATAAATGGTGTTTTTGTACTGTATATACATGATATAGGTCAGATGTCCATGACAACTACCGAGGGCTGGTCTTGGCAAATGGTGTTTTTATACTGTATATAGGTCAGATGTCCATGACAACTACATAGGGTAGGTCTTGAAAAATAATGGATAATTTCAGTGTTTTTTTGTTTACAGAAATGGTCATCATCATTTATCTTTTCCAACATTATTGCTGGATTACAAAATTTGTTAAAAAAAAAAGAAGACAATGAGAAATTGTATTGGCAGTTTTGTACCTGTGATACAATGATGTCCATCCATTTTGTTTTGGAAAAAGCAGATGCTGATTAGCCTGAGTACTTCAAATGCTGTCATTGTCATGTGAGGTACTTATTAATTAAGAAATAGCCTTGATATAATTTGGATAATTTGTTTCAGCATTAAAATCAGTTTGCCAACTGTTATGATAGTGTCAAATTAAATACAAAGATATGATTAGAAATGAAATATTCAAATATCATAGTTCAACTACCATGTACCAATACAAAAGTTGAAATAAGTTTAATGGGCGTATTACCCTTGTTATGAAGCAAGTATATGAAGTCGTACATGGAGTGTTAATTAGGAATTCAATTGTAAAATGCACCATTGATAAATGTTGTATGCCACCAGCAGTAAAACACAATTTCATGGAATGAACATAACTGTATAACAACAACACATTTCATACAGAACATTACAAAAAATCAATGTACAATAATATTGTATGTTTTATATATAGGGCAAATGAAGATTCAAACTAGAAACATATCATCAGCGACAACATTATACTTTGAAGATAAAATAGTCTATTGTGTTAGCACATTAAAAGTGCAACAATTTATTTAACGATTAAACCATCTGCTTTGAAATAATTCAAACTTTTGAGTTCTAAAAATGTAATGAAAATATGTAATTACTTAGAAACAGCTTTTAGTTTTGGTAGAACAGTATTGTAATTTACCCTAATGTAAATTCTAAGACAATTAAAAAATTGTACAACCATGAATATAGTTGTTATAAATACTGTAATGCTGATAAACAGATTGTTAAAAACTAATGAAAAATCTGAATCTGAGATTGGTATCAAGGTTAAGGCCCTATGACATCGTTTTTTTTTAATTCAAAGGAAACTATTAAACTATTCCAATATGATATGTGTAAAAGAATGCTTTGTATGGGAAACAGAGACTGATTTTCCAAGCTGGACACAAATTATAATACAGAATGGAAGAAAGCAAACAGAACCAAGAAATACAAGTAATTATCAAATTACATATTTAAGATTGACTTATTGCAATTACATGACTGTATAGTATTTTTCACATGTTGTATAGTTTAAAGTTATGTAGAATCTGCATTATCTATTATTGTTTGTTTACTAGAAGAAAAAGATGTGTCCAATGCTGTAACAGTTAATTTAAAGTCATACTAACTAGTAGTGACAATTTATGAACCTTCTCATTCACTCCGAAAAAATGTGCTTCAATATAAAAAAAAGATTGGTATGATTGCGAATGAGACAACTCTCCATGTGAGATCACATGTGGTTGGTGTCAGCAACAATATTAGTTACCATATATATGGCCTTCGACATGAGGCAAAAGCTAACAAACTATAAAAGGCCACAAAATGACAAGTGTAAAACAACTTAAACAAGAAAATTAAAGGCTTGTCGCTACTAAATTTACTTGCTGATATGAATAAGCCATCATACTAAGAGGAAGAAGTGTCTGGTCATGCATGTATTCATGTACTAAATGGAAAGATGGTTAAAATAATTTTGTTCTTTGCTATTACATTACAGATAAGTAGATTTGTTTCTCTTTTATAAATATTTACCAATATTTTTGCACACTTATAAATAGGTTCATGTATGAATTGCCCCTCTATGAAAATCCAAAGATGCAGGAAAAGAAAACCATGAACAAGCTTCAAAAGATAAAGATGATAATGATGAATCAGGTCAGTGAATCCTGTATTATAAATTCTTTTCATAAAATAAACATAGGGTTGTAAAAGCCTTGATCTTGTACACAAGATTAGCTCACCTGGCTTAAAGGCCAAGTGAGCTTTTCTCATAACTTGGCATCCGTTATCTGTCATCGTTGTTAACTTTAACAAAAATCTTCTCCTCTGAAACTACTGGGCCAAATTTAAAACTTGGCCACAATATTTATTACGGTATTTAGTTTTAAAAAATGAGTCCTGCCAAACAACACAGACAACATGTTTAAAAGTAGAACATGGGGTAAAATGCAAATGTTGTCTATTATCTTGAAAACAGCTCTAGATAGAGAAAATCTGACAGCAGCAGAAATGTTCAGAATTTTGAGATCTATCTTCTGACTATTAACATTTATAATTTGGGAATTTATTAACTATTGATTGACATAATGAAATCAGTATTTATTCTTCCCATACTGATTGCTCGAGAATATATCTTTTATGACCATTGGGGAAAGTGTAAACTGTGGGTATATTTAAAATAAGTATGCATTCGTAATAACATATAAAGAGAATATTTATGCTTTCCATTCATGAATCACAATTTGCACGATTCACCATGGAGTGGTACTAAACTACAAATTTTACAGAATTTCTACAAACATGTAAACAAGGCAGTTGTCTATATATCACTTTATTTTTCATATTATTATCTTTTTCAGAATAGCTGATAATTATCTTATTTTTTTCATGCCGGAAGAAGCGTTTTTTTTTTTTTTTTTTTTGCACATGAGGAAGCTGGTGAATTATGTGCTGCTACAGAAGAGGATATAGTAAATATACTGAAGAGGAAACATCCAAGCTAGTAGATCTTTGTTGACTACACTTCTGAAAATTTTATATGTTTACAGTTTCTGTATCATTTTATTTTTAAGTTAAATGGATCAAAGTCTCTATTGGAGGGGTTGCAATATTTGTGTCTAATCAATGTAGAATGTTTACAATATAATTGGAAATACATAAAGTAGAGTTGTTTTTTTTTGTATTTGAGAATAATCATAAGTATTATTTTTCTGCAGATTTTAATTAATGCTATGTATAGCAGAAATTAAATAAAGCAATTTCAATAGAGATATAAGCACACATGAGAGAAATATGTAGACAACAGTTATTATGAAACGACTAATTACCAAAAATTGATGTAGAAATTGTGAGTGCTAGATTAATAGTGATTACCATACACTAAGTATAAGTCGAAATGTATATATTTTCCTATTTCATTGTTTTTTAGATTGATAGTAGTTTCCTCAAATGAAACAAATAATTACAGTTTTATAATTCTTTTTAGATTGGAGTATTTGGTTATGATTGCACAATTTAGTCATTTTTTCATTAAAAAAAATTAAGCTAGTTTTATGGTATACCTTAAATGATATTGATTTGTAAACCACATAATTATATAAGAGACAACATTTTGAAAGCTACACGGGTTAATCAGTGTGCACCACATTTTTGATGTTATTTCTTCATAGACAGAAAAAATATTACAGTCATTCCTTAAATATGTTTTGGTTAACCAAAAATGTCTAAAAAAAATGATGATACTAGCAGTCTAAAAATTCTTTTGAGATAAAATTATCTGATTATAATTGAACACTGAAGTAACTTTTTCATTGAGTTGTTCTTTTCTTTTTTGCTAGAACTTGGGTTTTTTTTTATTGGTTCACATATTATATTTTATCAATTTTGAGAACATTTGTTTGCAATTTTATAGAATATATTCATGTATAAAATGTACTGGTACTTAGTGTGATAAACCACTAAGGTTAAGCACAGGTTTAAGAATTTATAAAAGTTAAGGATTTTCACTCCTAACTAAATTCCAAAAGTCACCTTTAAAAATTTCTTTAACTTTTTTCAAATCATCTTGGATTTTCATAAAAAATCTACAGCTATCTCAATTATATATTGATCTTACAAAATGCAAAGTTATTTGGTAGTTTGTTTTATTACTGTCAAATTTAAGGATTTAATCAATGGGTAAAAAAGCTGTAAATTTCATGTTGGACAAAATTTAGATAGTCAACTTTAAAATTTTTTGTAACTTTTTCAAATGATTTCGGATTTTAATAATACTCTTCAGCTATCTCAATTATATATTGATCTTACAAAATGCCAGGTTATTTGGTAGTTTGTTTTATTACTGTCAAATTTAAGGATTTAATCAATAGGTAAAAAAGCTAGAAATTTCATGTCAGACAAAATTTAGATAGTCAACTTTAAAAATATCTGTAACTTTTTCAAATCAACTTGGATTTTCATAATACTCTTCAGCTATCTCAGTTATAAATTAATCTTACAAAATGACAGGTTATTTGGTAGTTTGAATTATTGCTGTCAAATTTAAGGATTTAATCAATAGGTAAAAAAGCTGGAACTTTCATGTCGGACAAAATTTAGATAGTCAACTTTAAAAATTTCTTTAACTTTTTCAAATGATTTTGGATTTTAATAATACTCTTCAGTTATCCTAATTATATATTGATCTTACAAAATGCCAGGTTATTTGGTAGTTTGTTTTATTACTGTCAAATTTAAGGATTTAATCAATAGGTAAATAAGCTAGAAATTTCATGTCCGACAAAATTTAGATAGTCAACTTTAAAAATATCTGTAACTTTTTCAAATGAACTTGGATTTCCATAAAACTCCACAGTTATCTCAATTAAATACTAATCTTAGAAAATGCCAGGTTATTTGGTAGTTTGGTATATTGGTGTCAAATTAAAGGATTTAATTAATAGACAACATTTAGATAATCAACTTTAAAAAGTGTTATTACTTTTTCAAATCAACTTGGATTTTCATAATACTCTTCAACTATCTCAGTTATAAATTAATCTTACAAAATGACAGGTTATTTGGTAGTTTGAATTATTGCTGTCAAATTTAAGGATTTAATCAATAGGTAAAAAAGCTGGAACTTTCATGTCGGACAAAATTTAGATAGTCAACTTTAAAAAGTTCTGTAACTTTTTCAAATGATTTTGGATTTTCATAATACTCTTCAGCTATCTCAATTATATATTGATCTTACAAAATGCCAGGTTATTTGGTAGTTTGTTTTATTACTGTCAAATTTAAGGATTTAATCATTAGGTAAAAAAGCTGGAATTTTCATGTCGGACAAAATTTAGATAGTCAACTTTAAAAAGTTCTGTTACTTTTTCAAACCAACTTGGATTGTCATAATACTCTTCAGCTATCTCAATTATATATTGATCTTTCAAAATGCCAGGTTATTTGGTAATTTGTTTTATTACTGTCAAATTTAAGGATTTAATCAATAGGTAAAAAAGCTGGAACTTTCATGTCGGACAAAATTTAGATAGTCAACTTTAAAAATTTCTTTAACTTTTTCAAATGATTTTGGATTTTAATAATACTCTTCAGTTATCCTAATTATATATTGATCTTACAAAATGCCAGGTTATTTGGTAGTTTGTTTTATTACTGTCAAATTTAAGGATTTAATCAATAGGTAAATAAGCTAGAAATTTCATGTCTGACAAAATTTAGATAGTCAACTTTAAAAATATCTGTAACTTTTTCAAATGAACTTGGATTTCCATAAAACTCCACAGTTATCTCAATTAAATACTAATCTTAGAAAATGCCAGGTTATTTGGTAGTTTGGTATATTGGTGTCAAATTAAAGGATTTATTTAATAGACAACATTTAGATAATCAACTTTAAAAAGTGTTATTACTTTTTCAAATCAACTTGGATTTTCATAATACTCTTCAACTATCTCAGTTATAAATTAATCTTACAAAATGACAGGTTATTTGGTAGTTTGAATTATTGCTGTCAAATTTAAGGATTTAATCAATAGGTAAAAAAGCTGGAATTTTCATGTCGGACAAAATTTAGATAGTCAACTTTAAAAACTTCTGTTACTTTTTCAAACCAACTTGGATTGTCATAATACTCTTCAGCTATCTCAATTATATATTGATCTTACAAAATGTCAGGTTATTTGGTACTTTGTTTTATTACTGTCAAATTTAAGGATTTATTCAATAGGTAAAAAAGCTAGAAATTTCATGTCAGACAAAATTTAGATAGTCAACTTTAAAAATATCTGTAACTTTTTGAAATAAACTTGGATTGTCATAATACTCTTGAGCTATCTCAATTATATATTGATCTTACAAAATTCCAGGTTATTTGGTAGTTTGTTTTATTACTGTCAAATTTAAGGATTTAATCAATAGGTAAAAAAGCTAGAAATTTCATGTCGGACAAAATTTAGATAGTCAACTTTAAAAGATCTGTAACTTTTTTCAAATGATTTTGGATTTTCATAATACTCTTCAGCTATCTCAATTATATATTGATCTTACAAAATGCCAGGTTATTTGGTAATTTGATTTATTACTGTCAAATTTAAGGATTTAATCAATAGGTAAAAAAGCTAGAAATTTCATGTCGGACAAAATTTAGATAGTCAACTTTAAAAAGTTCTGTAACTTTTTCAAATGATTTTGGATTTTCATAATACTCTTCAGCTATCTCAATTATATATTGATCTTACAAAATGCCAGGTTATTTGGTAATTTGTTTTATTACTGTCAAATTTAAGGATTTAATCAATAGGTAAAAAAGATAGAAATTTCATGTCAGACAAAATTTAGATAGTCAACTTTAAAAATATCTGTAACTTTTTCAAATCAACTTGGATTTTCATAATACTCTTCAGCTATCTCAGTTATAAATTAATCTTACAAAATGACAGGTTATTTGGTAGTTTGAATTATTGCTGTCAAATTTAAGGATTTAATCAATAGGTAAAAAAGCTGGAACTTTCATGTCGGACAAAATTTAGATAGTCAACTTTAAAAAGTTCTGTAACTTTTTCAAATGATTTTGGATTTTCATAATACTCTTCAGCTATCTCAATTATATATTGATCTTACAAAATGCCAGGTTATTTGGTAGTTTGTTTTATTACTGTCAAATTAAAGGATTTAATCATTAGGTAAAAAGCTGGAATTTTCATGTCGGACAAAATTTAGATAGTCAACTTTAAAAAGTTCTGTAACTTTTTCAAATGAACTTGGATTTCCATAAAACTCCAATCTTATCTCAATTAAATACTAATCTTAGAAAATGCCAGGTTATTTGGTAGTTAGGTATATTGGTGTCAAATTAAAGGATTTAATTAATAGACAAAATTTAGATAATCAACTTTAAAAAGTGTTATTACTTTTTCAAATCAACTTGGGTTGTCATAATACTCTTCAGCTATCTCAATTATATATTGATCTTACAAATTGCCAGGTTATTTGGTAATTTGTTTTATTACTGTCAAATTTAAGGATTTAATCAATAGGTAAAAAAGCTAGAAATTTCATGTCGGACATAATTTAGATAGTCAACTTTAAAAAGTTCTGTAACTTTTTCAAATGATTTTGGATTTTCATAATACTCTTCAGCTATCTCAATTATATATTGATCTTACAAAATGCCAGGTTATTTGGTAGTTTGTTTTATTACTGTCAAATTTAAGGATTTAATCAATAGGTAAAAAAGCTGGAATTTTCATGTCGGACAAAATTTAGATAGTCAACTTTAAAAAGTTCTGTAACTTTTTCAAATGATTTTGGATTTTCATAATACTCTTCAGCTATCTCAATTATATATTGATCTTACAAAATGCCAGGTTATTTGGTAGTTTGTTTTATTACTGTCAAATTTAAGGATTTAATCATTAGGTAAAAAAGCTGGAATTTTCATGTCGGACAAAATTTAGATAGTCAACTTTAAAAAGTTCTGTAACTTTTTCAAATGAACTTGGATTTCCATAAAACTCCAATCTTATCTCAATTAAATACTAATCTTAGAAAATGCCAGGTTATTTGGTAGTTAGGTATATTGGTGTCAAATTAAAGGATTTAATTAATAGACAAAATTTAGATAATCAACTTTAAAAAGTGTTATTACTTTTTCAAATCAACTTGGGTTGTCATAATACTCTTCAGCTATCTCAATTATATATTGATCTTACAAATTGCCAGGTTATTTGGTAATTTGTTTTATTACTGTCAAATTTAAGGATTTAATCAATAGGTAAAAAAGCTAGAAATTTCATGTCGGACATAATTTAGATAGTCAACTTTAAAAAGTTCTGTAACTTTTTCAAATGATTTTGGATTTTCATAATACTCTTCAGCTATCTCAATTATATATTGATCTTACAAAATGCCAGGTTATTTGGTAGTTTGTTTTATTACTGTCAAATTTAAGGATTTAATCAATAGGTAAAAAAGCTGGAATTTTCATGTCGGACAAAATTTAGATAGTCAACTTTAAAAAGTTCTGTAACTTTTTCAAATGATTTTGGATTTTCATAATACTCTTCAGCTATCTCAATTATATATTGATCTTACAAAATGCCAGGTTATTTGGTAATTTGTTTTATTACTGTCAAATTTAAGGATTTAATCAATAGGTAAAAAAGCTAGAAATTTCACGTCAGACAAAATTTAGATAGTCAACTTTAAAAATATCTGTAACTTTTTCAAATAAACTTGGATTTCTATAAAACTCCACAGTTATCTCAATTAAATACTAATCTTAGAAAATGCCAGGTTATTTGGTAGTTAGATATATTGGTGTCAAATTAAAGGATTTAATTAATAGACAAAATTTAGATAAGCAACTTTATAAAGCGTTATTACTTTTTCAAATCAACTTGGATTGTCATAATACTCTTCAGCTATCTCAATTATATATTGATCTTACAAAATGACAGGTAGTTTGAATTATTGCTGTCAAATTTAAAGATTTAATCAATAGGTAAAAAAGCTGGAATTTTCATTTCGGACAAAATTTAGATAGTCAACTTTAAAAATATCTGTAACTTTTTCAAATGAACTTGGATTTCCATAAAACTCCACAGTTATCTCAATTAAATACTTATCTTAGAAAATGCCAGGTTATTTGGTAGTTTGGTATATTGGTGTCAAATTAAAGGATTTAATTAATAGACAACATTTAGATAATCAACTTTAAAAAGTGTTATTACTTTTTCAAACCAACTTGGATTTTCATAATACTCTTCAGCTATCTCAGTTATATATTGATCTTACAAAATGCCAGGTTATTTGGTAGTTTGTTTTATTACTGTCAAATTTAAGGATTTAATCAATAGGTAAAAAAGCTAGAAATTTCATGTCGGATAAAATTTAGATAGTCAACTTTAAAAAGTTCTGTAACTTTTTTCAAATGATTTTGGATTTTCATAATACTCTTCAGCTATCTCAATTATATATTGATCTTACAAAATGCCAGGTTATTTGGTAATTTGTTTTATTACTGTCAAATTTAAGGATTTAATCAATAGGTAAAAAAGCTAGAAATTTCACGTCAGACAAAATTTAGATAGTCAACTTTAAAAATATCTGTAACTTTTTCAAATAAACTTGGATTTCTATAAAACTCCACAGTTATCTCAATTAAATACTAATCTTAGAAAATGCCAGGTTATTTGGTAGTTAGATATATTGGTGTCAAATTAAAGGATTTAATTAATAGACAAAATTTAGATAAGCAACTTTATAAAGCGTTATTACTTTTTCAAATCAACTTGGATTGTCATAATACTCTTCAGCTCTCTCAAGTATATATTGATCTTACAAAGTGCCAGGTTATTTGGTAGTTTGTTTTATTACTGTCAAATTTAAGGATTTAATCAATAGGTAAAAAAGCTAGAAATTTCATGTCCGACAAAATTTAGAAAGTCAACTTTAAAAATATCTGTAACTTTTTCAAATGATCTTGGATTTCCATAAAACTCCAGAGTTATTTCAATTAAATACTAATCTTAGAAAATGCCAGGTTATTTGGTAGTTTGGTATATTGGTGTCAAATTAAAGGATTTAATTAATAGACAAAATTTAGATAGTCAACTTTAAAAAGTGTTATTACTTTTCAAATCAATTTGGATTTTCATAATACTCTTCAGCTATCTCAGTTATAAATTAATCTAACAAAATGACAGGTTATTTGGTAGTTTGAATTATTGCTGTCAAATTTAAGGATTTAATCAATAGGTAAAAAAGCTGGAACTTTCATGTCGGACAAAATTTAGATAGTCAACTTTAAAAATTTCTTTAACTTTTTCAAATGATTTTGGATTTTAATAATACTCTTCAGTTATCTTAATTATATATTGATCTTACAAAATGCCAGGTTATTTGGTAGTTTGTTTTATTACTGTCAAATGTTAGGATTTAATCAATAAGTAAAAAAGCTGGAATTTTCATTTCGTACAAAATTTAGATAGTCAACTTTAATAATATCTGTAACTTTTTCAAATGAACTTGGATTTCCATAAAACTCCACAGTTATCTCAATTAAATACTAATCTTAGAAAATGCCAGGTTATTTGGTAGTTTGGTATATTGGTGTCAAATTAAAAGATTTAATTAATAGACAAATTTTAGATAGTCAACTTTAAAAAGTTCTGTAACTTTTTCAAATCAACTTGGTTTTTGAAAAAACTTTACAGCTATCTCAGTTGTAAATTGATCTTACAAAATTCCAAGTTATTTGGTTCATTGCTGTCAAATTTAAGGATTTAGTTAATAGAATCAAATATGCTATGAGTTAGGCTAAAATGATGTAAAGGTTTTTTAAGCTCGCTACGCTCTGATGTATTCAATTTTATGGAATTATGCCCATATGCTTTTGAAAAATCCTGGATCCGCCCCTAAAGATAAGAGTACATTTGAAAATCCCTATTATTATAGCACAATAAGAACAAAGAGATTTTGCCTTTGTCATGTGTTAATTTAAAATGTAAACTTTTTACTTTTTTTTTGGTGAATTTTCTCTAAGCATTTCTGTCGAAATTCTTCCTAGTTTAATTAAATGGAATATATTTCATTGTTTCCTTATGAAACTCTGCAGGGAGGTAATGTTTAACAGATTTAATGTATAGTATGATTTATTCTTGTTGAGTTTTTTGGGGCAAAATTTGGATTAAAACCAATTAATATCATTTAGTGGGATTTTTTACAATGAAGCTGGTTTCCATTGATTTTTTTATGAACAGATCTTATTTGATTATTCAACCCTTTCCTAATAGCTTTTACAATTACAAAGTTGAAATGTTTCACAAATTAAACTAATATTCATAATCAAAGGAGAAGTTTTAATTTGGCCACAATTCATGTCAAAATCACTTATATATTGAATTTAATACCCATAAATTGTGAAAATAATCTTAAATGAAATGAACATGTATCATATATGTATTCCTTCAAACATCATTCTGCAAGGAGTAAATTCAATAAATCCCAAACATTGAACCTATTTTTTTTATAAAATTTTCAACATTTGACTTGCATATCTAGTTTGTCAGAAAATGTTGTCTTTATTTCCAATTTCTTTTTTTGTTTGAAATCAAGCAAATTTTGTTAAATTAAATAAAAATTCCTAATTTTATCCAATTTTGGTGTCTATTTCAAAAAGTTCTACAAAAAGCATTCTATTTCACTTTTTATGCCCCCGTAGTAGCGGAAGGGGCATTAACTTTTACCCTTGTCTGTCTGTGCGTCCGTACGTCCCAAAATTGGTTTCCGTTCTGTAACTTTAGTTCGCCTCAACCAAATGTTGTGTAACTTATACACAATGCTTATTACCACAAAACACAGATCAAGTTTGAGTTTGGGTGGCGTCAACCGTTCTAGAGTTATGCCCCTTTACAAATGGAAAAATTGCTGTGTTTTTTGTTTCTGTTCTCTAACTTAAGTTTGCCTTAACCAAATGTTATGAAACTTATACACAAAGCTTATTACCACAAAACACAGATCAAGTTTGAATTTTGGTGGCGTAACTTTTACTGTTCTAGAGTTATGCCCTTTACGAATTGAAAAATTGCTGATTTTTTTGTTTCCGTTCTCTAACTTAAGTTTGCCTCAACCAAACGTTAAGGAAACTTATACTCAAAGCTTATTACCACCAAAAACAGATCAAGTTTGAATTTAGGTGGTGTCACTTTTACCTTTCTTGAGTTATGCCCCTTTACAAATGGAAAAATTGATGAATTTTTTGTTTCCATTCTCTAACTTAAGTTTGCCTCAACCAAATGTTATGAAACTTATACACAATGCTTATTACCACAAAACTCAGATCAAGTACAAATTTGGGTAGCCTCACTTTTGTTGTTCGTGAGTTATGTCCCTATATACTGTTGTATGCAAGTGGGGGCATCATCTGTGTCCCATGGACACATTCCCCATTTATTCACATATGTTTTTCTAAAACTTGAAACGCTTTTCATTTTGAAATATTGGACTTGCTATTGAGGCCCTAATCAAGCACTTAAACTTTCCTTTCAGAAAAGAATATGATTTATATAAACCTATGCAATATAAATAAAAACACTGGTCCTGCTCCTATATAAGATATACATGATATAACTTAATCTTACATGTGTTTTATAAAGCTAAGGTGAGAGGTAGAATTAGAAATATACTTATGTATGATATTAGATAAACACACTGATAAAGGTGAATAGCTTGAATGTACATATTTTCAAATTTATAAATTTAAAATGTCACCTTATAAAATGTATTCACTGTTTGATCTATTAAATATATGACTATAAACACAGTTAAAAATTATGTTGTTCTCTTATTGAAAAGATGTTATTTATATTCTCTGTCTTACACATGAATTACATACTACTCTAGAAATTTGCACACTTCATTAAAGATCTAGACCAATTGTTATCTGCTATTTTAAAATCCAAGATGGAGGAAGACACCCGAGCTACCTTAAGATGTGAAATTCTAAGATATATTCCAAATTAAAATTTTGACTATGATATCACAGTTCACTACATGGAAATGTAATCTTGTGAAAGATATACATTATCAGGCAAGCAAATCTGGTTTTGATAGTTAAAGTGGTGGTCAAATTTATATGAAAATTAATAAAAATGTGACTTATGTTTTTATACTCGAAATTTATGTAACAAAGTATGGTTGTCATCTCAATATCGGACAGTAATGAATGACTGAATATTATTGTGCAAATACGGCATGGAGTTTATTTTCTTCCATGCTAATTGAATAAAAAAGGTATTAGTCAACTTTCTATGTCGACATATTTATTTGTTCATATGATAAATCAGTAACTCTTAGAAATAGTTTAATGTAGATCAGCACTAATTATTTCCTCAGATGGAATTTCTTATACTTTGCATTCATGGAAAACACATTTTTGTGAAAAAAATCTATAGATAGATTTTTTTTCAAAATGTTTTATTATGTGCTTTTAGAAATCTAGAAGTAAAAATGGTGTCACTAAACTCGTTTTCTTGCTACAAGTAAACAAGAGTGCACTCACTGAAATGTGTGGCCTGCTTTACTTATCATTGAATTGATGTTGAAAGTGTGTAATATGAAAGTTTCACCATTAGTTCCACATAAACACACCCGTAGCCAGGGGGGCTTCGAGGGGTTGGTATGAACCCCCCCTTGAAAACAAATAAGCACTGTTAAAGTTGACATTCTGTTTGAATTGTAACTGTTAAAGAGAGCTTCGCGAGTCCAAGTCCATGTGACCCCCCCCCCCCCCCATGGAAATTCCTGGCTATGGGCCTGATAAACCTAAAATATCAATGTAAATGAGGTCAAGGCCAGATGAACCCTACCAGGCAAACATGTACACCTTACAACCATACAATTGACCAAATATAGTTATCATATTGCTTATGGTATCCAAGAAACAGACCTAATTACGAAAATTAAACCCTAAAAATAAGGTCAAGCTCAGATGAACCCTGCTGAACAACATGTTCACCATACGATTATTCCATACACCAAATATAGTTGACCTATTGTTTACAGTATCTAATAAACAAACATAACCATGAAATTTACATGGCCTAATTAACCATGGAAATGAGGTCTACGACATATGAATCCTGCCAGATAGACTACACCTTACTATCATTCCAATCATTGAATAGAGTACAGTTGACCTATTGCCTATAGAATCTATGTAACAAACATCACTATGGAAACTTTAAATTGCCTATGGATTGATTGATTGGTGTTGAACACCACTTTCAGCACTATTTTGCTATTTCGTGGCTGTCAGTTTTTGTTGGTATAGGAAGCCTGAGTGCCCGTATAGAACCACAGACCTTCGGTTGGAAAACTGACAATCGTAGTCAATTAAGATTGGAGTGGAGCCCACCTGCTACATGTGGGATTCGAACTCGCAACTTCCATGTTTACAGACTAGTGATACAGTAGTTCAACTACTTAGACCACTTGGCCATCGAAGCCACTTTGCCTAATGAAGCATTTAAATTGGTCAAGGTTAGATGAACACTACCAGACAAAGCTATACACATTGAACTATTGCTTGTGATTGTTGAAATCCAAGATGTGCTCTTCAGTTGTGTTGATTAACGTATTTATAAGTATTTGGTTAGTGAATAGTTGTATCAATGGGAAATCACATTACATCTCCCTTTTTTCATATCGCATGTTTTTTAACAAGTGTGTATGTATCCGGACTCATAACTACATGTGATTATGTTTATAACTATGCATCAAATAGAAGAGAAAGATACCAAAGGGAAATTCAAACTCATAAGACGAAAATAATGTCAAAAACAGAAAAGGACAAAAAATTATTTGCCAACAGCATGAGATATCAAAACAACAGCACAATCAAACAAAATACAGTTAGAAGTAATACATCTCAGTCTTCAACAACTAGCAGATGTCTACACCTTCCTGTAAAGCTTTGAGCCGTCAAGTAAACTTTTAAATGCAGTGTATAAAATGTAACACAAACCATATTAGCAATCAATATTTCAGACTCGCAAACACCTTCCACAAAAAGATAGTACTACACTTAGTAACGAGTTTTTTTTTCAGACTTACGCCAGTCACAAAACACAAAGTGTAAAAAGGATTAATCCGTGATTAATAACCAGTACAAGAAGTAATAACTGAATTGACAACTGTATACTTTATAAAATAAGTCCAATTTCACGGGTGTCATTCGGTTTATCGAGAGAATTGATCGTGAAAGAATATAACTAACGGTGGTCAAGCATTGCGATATCAGATCGGGAAAGATCTGGTATCGGATCGTGAATGCAATTAAGTGTAATTCTACTTCAAAATCTATGAAACAATCTGCTGTAGTTTCAAAAGGTGGAACAAATTAGAAAAAAATATATGTCTGTCAAAATTATTCAACGTCTTTGATAAAACTGTGCACTTAAAAAATGAAAAAAATGCAGTGCTTTTTAAGAAAACACAAAAGGCGGCACACAATCCTATCAAAATCATTTAGAAAAAAATCACGTTTTGTAACTATAATACTGAGTCACATTCCAATATATCATGATATGTTTAAAACTTAATCTTTACATGTCAGATAGTCCAGTAAAATATATGTATGTTATTACTTGAAAAAGTTCATATTATTTTTGAAAAAATTTTTTTGTTGATTTTTTATCAAAATTGATCGTGAAAGATCATTCAACGCATTATTTGGATCGTGAAAGACAAGGAGTGACCAGACTTAATGATCAGAAAACAGCATTTGTTTTACCAATTGATGTACTTGTAATTGGTTGAAGTGTGTAATTACTTTCTTAGAACGTAAATCATTGCTTTAAATTTTGTTGGGGATGTATATATTTTTACCCATATTTAGACCTTTTTTCATTTATGAGGCAATGCTACGCGTAACTAGGCATCCAAGATAATAAGACCTACATCAGCGTAAATGATCGAAAGGTCAATATTGTGTATACATAATGCATCCACAAATGAGGGAAGCGAGAGGGGGTCTGGTGGTTTTCCACCGGAAATATCTTAATGTGTGCGTTTTTGTTTTCGAAAAGGTAATTGAGATGTATAAGTCCACTCTGTGTTTTTGTTACTTGTTTTTGCTTTGAATCGATCTGATGAGTTAAGCCCTTTTCAACTGATCTTTATAGTTTGTTCAATTGTTGTTCTGTTACACCACTGTCCCAGGTTAGAAAGAGAGTCGCTAACTAGTTTAACCCCGCCACATTATGTAGGTGCCTGTCCCAATTCAGGAGTCTGTAATTCAGTGGTTGTCGTTTTGGTTTATATCATATTTGTTTGTCGTTCATTGAACATAAATACGTTAGTTTTCTCGTTTGAATTGTTTTACAAATGTCATTTCGTGTCCTTTTATAGCTGTATGGGTTTTACTCATTGTTGAAGGCCATACGATGATCTATAGTTGTTAAATTCTGTGTCATTTGGTCTCTTGTGCAGAGTTGTCTTATTGTCAATCATACCACATCTTCATAATTTTATATTAGATCAAATAAGCTTTATCATTTAATTTTACACACAGGTGTATTGAAGATGTTCTTTCCATTAACAATACGAACTTTTCTCATTTGGTCCCATTAATAGTCTTGAACTAGATATTATAGACACCACATATACAGATTCATCTGCATCATTTTTAGACATATACCCCGAATTTGACTACAGCGGTCATCTTTTAATACCAGAGTCTATGACAAACGAGATGATTTCAGTTTTGAAATTATAAAATTTCTGAATAAACTAAATCAAAATAACTTTAAGAACTATTTCAAACAGTGATATTGAACGATATTTCTAGGAGAAAAGTAGTTTATGCATTAAAAATTTGAAAGAAAATCATGTTTGTTTACATTCTTATTTCTCTGAAATTTTGAAAAACAATCTGCCTTTTGTAGTCTTGTGAAAACGGTGTACTTTTAAGTCTTGATTTTTCTCGGATACTAATCAGAATGTTGAACCATTTTGACAGACAGTTTTATTTTTCCAATATTATTCATAATAATTGATTAAATAAGATTATTTACTGACGGAGCATGTGTCTTCTCGATAATATTTCATTCACGATCCTATACCAGATCTTTCACGATCTGATCGCAATGCTTGACCACCGTTAGTTATTCTTTCACGATCAATACTCTCGATAAACCGAATGACACCCGTGAATTTATACAATGACGATATGGTTCCATAATAAATAGTGGTAAACATTGTAATAAGGAGCTTTATCAAATAGAATACAGCTTTAAAAAAATATTATAAAAAAAACCTCATTCTGGTGGTAACCTCTATTGTTTTAATAAGTACAACCATACATTCCTTGTATTATAAAGAAAAAAACCATCGTGGTGGTTACTTCAATCTATTTTACTAGGTACAACCAATAAAAGGCTCCTATCATACAAAACCTCATCCTGGTGGTTACCGCAACCTATTTTACTAGGTACAAGCAATAAAAAGACCATATCATATAAAACCTCATCCTGGTGGTTACCGCAACCTATTTTACTAGGTACAACCAATAAAAAGACCATATCATATAAAACCTCATTGTGGTGGTTACTTCTATTTATTTTAAATATAAAACCTCATTGTGGTGGTTACTTCAATCTATTTTACTAGGTACAAGCAATAAAAGGCTCCTATCATACAAAACCTCATCCTGGTGGTTACCGCAACCTATTTTACTAGGTACAAGCAATAAAAAGACCATATCATATAAAACCTCATTGTGGTGGTTACTTCTATTTATTTTAAATATAAAACCTCATTGTGGTGGTTACTTCAATCTATTTTACTAGGTACAAGCAATAAAAGGCTCCTATCATATAAAACCTCATCCTGGTGGTTACCGCAACCTATTTTACTAGGTACAAGCAATAAAAAGACCATATCATATAAAACCTCATTGTGGTGGTTACTTCTATTTATTTTACATATAAAACCTCATTGTGGTGGTTACTTCAATCTATTTTACTAGGTACAACCAATAAAAGGCTCCTATCATACAAAACCTCATCCTGGTGGTTACCGCAACCTATTTTACTAGGTACAAGCAATAAAAAGACCATATCATATAAAACCTCATTGTGGTGGTTACTTCTATTTATTTTAAATATAAAACCTCATTGTGGTGGTTACTTCAATCTATTTTACTAGGTACAACCAATAAAAGGCTCCTATCATATAAAACCTCATCCTGGTGGTTACCGCAACCTATTTTACTAGGTACAACCAATAAAAAGACCATATCATATAAAA